TGTCGCTTACAGATGTAGAACGGCATCATAAGCACGTGCTTTCAATAAAAGTGATCGTTATTTCACTAATACGTTTCTCGGCTGCTCTGGAATCTGGTCGGTTACTACTCATAATTATGTAGTAGTTTTCTCACTTCACCTCGACTCTAGCCTTGCTGCTTCAGGTCCTTTTTCATATTAGCTGAGAGATTTAATCGATGTCGATGTATCACTTTATTAATGTTCTACCACAGCCTCAGGCTTTAAAAAATTCGGTTTTTGTTTTCGCTATTCAGTATTTCAACGCTCTTCCAATCAAACTCATGCACGAAATTGTTCACATGGACTGATATGACAGAAGCTCTATTAAGACATTTCGCAGATAACTGGTATTTATTTGAATGTGGACAAAGTGGACTTTTGTATTATACTGTGTAATGTTGGTCTCAGTCCTTGAAACTCGAGTCGACATGGATGCTTATGACGTTATTTTGTCGTTGGCTCCTACAATGATATTTCGAACGACTTTGTCAACTTATGCGCCAAAACATTCTTGGTGATCTTAATAACTTTTCTCGTTGTTAGAAAAGATTTTTTCATATCGACTATCAAACTAGTCCCATTGGTTTTATTAGAAACACCATGAAGTTAATGAGCTCGGTCAGGTATACGAACCAAATCGCGTATCGATACGTCATGCTGCGCACTTCTTGCATCTAGTTAGCTTAAATCAGTTGGATCTCGACACACCAATCATTCTCCAAATATATCTTCCCACAACATAGCGGTTAATGTCATTTACCCTGACTTCTCAAAAGATTTTGATAGGATCAACCAAATATGTCGTATCAATATGCTCGAACGATTGGGTATCACATCACTGGCTCACTTCATATTTAAAAAATAGACATTTTGAGGTCAGGGTTAACTTCACTTTCTTTCAAGCGACGGAATGTTCTAGTTGGGTTCCTTCGGATTCAGTACGACGACCTCCTCTTCTCGTGATATACACGAACAATCTTCCACAACAGGTATCGTTTAACGTATTACGTTTTGCTGAAAATGTGAAACTTTGGAGATATGCAGCCATCGAACATGCTGGCACTTCAGGAGGATCTGACTCAACTTCAAAGTTGGGCAGATGACAACGAACTTCCAAAACCTCAAAGAGCAAATTAGGCATGTTGCAGATTACGCATACAACTTAAGAAACCCTCCTCTAGAAGTATCCCGAGTTGAAAAAGTTTTACGTGTGCAGTTACCCTACGACTTGAAGCCTTACGCTGCGGAAAAATGCCTTTCGAACTAACCTTGCACTGTTAACATTGGAGCACATTTTTGGCCAGTTCGGCGGAAGAACTTTTCACATGATCTTTAACAGTTTCATTCGTTCTCATTTAGAGTATTTCCTCCCTTACTCCTCAGGGATAAGAACACTCTGGAGCGTATACAACGGCAAGCCACGAAATCAGTTCGGAGACTCACATTCAAACCTTATGAAGAGCGCCAACAGTCGCTAAACGTTTACCCATTAGAGTGTAGGAGTCATGGAGGTGACCTTCCTATGGCTTACAGTATCTTTTACACGTCTGTACATCCCCTTAAACACCTAATTAAGTTTAGCGCCAACACAAATTTAAGGCGTAACACCCCGAAACTAGAGATACAGCATAGAAGAACGGACTGTAGACACAACCTTTACCCTTTAAGTGTTGTCAAATGCTGGGATTCGCTACCGGCTGAGCTAGTCCAAGCGACTTCCCAGAAGTTACTTAAGAGGAAACTGGACCTATTCTTAAGGACTAAGGATAGTATGTTACTATGAATCACTAATGTCGTTTTCCTTTATTATAAATAATATACCTAGGTTCCTGGATGAACGTATTGGTGATCCACTTCCACTAGACACGGAAGCCCGTTAGGCGAAAGCTTCTTCTTTTCCGTCCATAACGGTTTGAAATCTTTCATTCTCGATTTTTGGTTTGATTAGTTTGTAGTGTTGCGTCGCGTAGCGGTTGACTATGGTTAACACTACAGGAAGACTACGTGTCAGTTAACTGATAAGATCCCCCGTAGACCAAATATCAGGAGGCAGTTGATGGCTGTAGTCGAGATGTATTTGTTAGCGATCTCATGGTATCGAAAGAATACCGGGATCGTGCCAGGTTACAAGTGTGGTTACTGGGAGTAACCGAATTCGTGCAGGGTCACAATCAGTCCTCAGTCTTCAGTAATAAGGATAGGAAGTCTATCGACCTATATAAATCCTTGCTTTTTGTTATACCGTGGAGGTCCAATCTCGTTTTGAATATATCAACATAAGGTGCTGATATCACGTGTTACGGTAGAGAATTCCAGTAATTCACTACTAGGTGCGGAAAACGAGACTCCAGACGTAAACGATTTGATCTCAGTTTTTGAACTTTCTTCGGATGTCCTTTCAAATGGTCAGTCCTAGACGGAAGTAAAGGATAAGACCAAGGTCATCGTTCAGTATACGATAAGCCAATATTAGATCACCCCGTATTCTACGGTAAGATAACGGAAATGAGTTAAGGTGTCTCCATCTGTCTTCATAAGATAGGTCAGATAGACCTTGTACCATCTTAGTACCTCGTCTTTGGACTCTTCCAGCATATCTGCTTTATAGATGAAACAAGGACTCGCTGCCTTGATCCCATATTCTAAATGTGGTCATACATAAATCGGGCATAATGATCTAAACATTTCATCATCCACCTATTTGTAGTGATACGTCTCATCATAGTTATTTATTTGCATCACTACACTCTTAATAGGATTTACTTCTAGTGACCACCTGTCCAACCATGCCATCAATGAGCTAAGATCATTCTGTAATACTATTCTATCCGACATACTGTGTATGGGTCTCCAAATTTTTATGTCATCAGCGAAGAGTAGAACATATGATTTTGCTACAGTTGGTTATTCACTTACATAAAGTAAAAAGAGAACGGGACCGAGAATTGTACATTGTGGAACTCCACTTTTTGCAGGTACCCATGAGGAGAGAACCCCATTTACCCTTACCATTTGTCTCCTGTCATAAAGAAAGTTACTTATCCAATCTACAATTGTGTAATAGATTCCAAAACGTTGCAGTTTGAATTTAAGACAAAGGCGGGAGATTTTTTCGAAGGCCTTACCTAGATCTATGAAAATCACATCCACAGGAACATTCCGATTTTCTGCAGCAGCCAAATCTTCTCCTGCAATAAAATTTGTCAAGCATGATAGGCCTCTCCGAAAACTATGTTGTTCCCTGGAGAAAAGATTATTCTCTTCAACATAGTTTATAACAGATATCCGAATGATTTTTTCCATCAGTTTTACAACTGCACAAGTTAAGCTAACGGGTCTATAATTGCTAACTAAATCCCTACTCCCAGCCCTATATACCGGACTTATAATAGTGTCTTTCCAGTCTCTAGGCAGTCTGGACTGTCTCAGAGACATGTTAAATAGTATCGCTAATGGTTCAGCGACTTCATCTGATATAGCTTTTATAATCCTAGGATGAATATCATCAGGACTACTGGATTTATCAGGTTTGAAATGCTGACGTAGCCTTAAAACAGTACCTTTCCCAATGACTACAGGATCCATCAGCGAGCCGTCACGGTCACGATGAATCGTTGGTCGTTCCTCATTACCGATAGAAAACACTTTACTAAAATATTCCGATAAAGCTTCAGTCATTTTGGCATCTTTTTTTACCAAGATTAACGGATTTTCTTGCATCAAAAGTGATGGAATTCCATCGCTTCTTTGAGTTCGCCTTTTTATATACGAGAACTACCGTTTCGGACTATATCAATAATCCCTAACCAATTGTTTTCTATATAACGTCTAGTCTTACTTATTAACGCTTTACAGGCACTTCTAATCTCACAATATTTGGATCTGTATTGTACCGCTATCACGCGATTCGCTAGCAGAGGAGCGTATATTTATATTATTGGCGATATATAACAGGACACCACCCTCTTTTCTACATCTATGTCTCTCACTCCTTGGGTAATGGCATCCGGATAATTCTGGAGTAATGTCTAAGTCATGGACTAATCATGATTCTGTCACTGCTACAATGAGTGGTTTTAATCTGTCCACTAATGCTTCTAGTTCATAGAACTTACTTCTTAGACCACGCGAGTTGGCATGTAAAACTCCACACAGACCTTGGTAACGTTGGCCTCCAAGACCTGACTATCCGAAATTCCACCAACCTGACATTTTCCTCACCGTTTTGCCGACGGGTTTCTAGTTCAGCTGGTGCTTTCTTCCTTTTTATTCTATCTTCAATAGACATATCAGGTCTAACCCGAATGTCGTAATTGTTGTGACAACGAGCGCTAATTAACACGATATCCCGTTGCTTCTCCGATCCTAGGAGGCCAAAGCCAATAAGCTCATGGCCTCCTGTGTTAGTAACGTCTTATTTGCACAGGAAAACATGCAAGGCCAATATGAGTTAGGATTCAAACATCCTTTGTACGCGGTGGCAGTTAAACGAGTGCACATCTTATGGAACCACTTTTTACATTCATCTCATTGCATTCCTTTCTCCACAGGGTACAAACAGTTTAGTTGTCCATATTTGTGAGTAATACCAACCATTTTAGTCAGAGTGAGGTGCAAAACACAATATGATCACAGTATGAAAAAGTTAACCTTAATTAATTTGGAACGAAACATTTTGACGACGGACTCTTGTCCTCATATACGAAGGTTGATTATAATTTGTAGTGTTCCCAAAGATGTACCTTGAAATCAGTTCGTAGCCTTTTCATGGATATTACAAAAATCTGAGAACAGTAGATCGATTCTTACTAGAATATAGGGTGCTCAAATGTGGAGGCTCGGCCACCCATAACATCCTAAAACCAGTCAATAGCAACTTCAAAACTCCGGATATTTATACAAGCTACCCATTACATTATTGGAAATTAGACGTTTTACTCATTTCTGTCAAGGAAACGTCACCAGCGCACTTTGAGTAACTTTGTTGCAGCCCATTCCAAACTACACTACCAACTCATAGTCTCGATTAATAAATTGTAATAATCTTACACTTGTGTTGTTACAGACCGCTTTAAATTAATTACCTCACTAAACGTAAGTGCATTCTACGTACTTACTGGGCGAATTGCTCACATTTTCTCTTCCAGGTTCTCTAGGGATAACTGCACCTAACATTTCACCACCACAAAAATTACGTTAAAGCTAGAGAAAAACATACTAGAGGTGATATGACTGAATTGTAAGAAAAGTTTCGTCATGTAAATTCAGTTTAGGGCTGACAAGAAATGTGATGAAACACAATTAAGTGAGAGATCAGGTATTTTTCAGCCTTTGGATTATTCGTTTCTGAATATAAAAAACGTATCAGGTATTACAATTGTCAGTAACACTTAAACGTTTCAACAGATTTAACTGTGTGTTGTCCGAGAATCATACCTAGTAGCAATTCGGTCATTAAAAAGGATATAAATGAAAAATGGGTTACTCGTACTCTGAAAATAAATAACAACCAAATAGAGGACATTTCTACGCTACCTGTTGTGGTTCATGAGCTTTTCGGAGACACGTCCAACTTAACGTGGTTAGATATATCTTGTAACAACATACCCAGTATTCCAAATGTAAATTGTAGTTTGTTTTCACTTTCAATTTTAGCTCAGTCTTTTAGTAGTCTTAAACACCTGAAAATCATCTATATGCATGGAAATAAAATAGCAACACTCCAGGAAGTGATAAAACTCAGACAGTTACCGAAGCTCACGAAACTTACGTTACATGGGAACCCCATCGAGAAGGAGAAGGTAATGCCTTATATCAGTTCACTGAAACAGCTACTGTTGACCATGCTGTTCCGTTTTTCAGAACATACGTCCCAACTCTCATTGCGACATCATCAAGTCAATTATGTGGCTTTTGGCCAAGTATCATGATACATTTTCTATGCTAAAAATAGCCTCTTATAAGCACTTAAGGGCTCGAAACAAGCCCTTGAATTCCGTAGTACAAATTCTTGTTGTGAATGGTTTACATAAGTGTGAAATGAGGGAACTAAAAATACAGTAATTTGAGAGGGGCTGTGCTTTCCGTACTCTTGAGAAATAGAGTAGGCAGGCTTATCTTGAGGAAAATCACAACAAATTTGTTACAATGTGGAGATAACTCCTTTTGGCATCATATATACTGTGACGACGATCATGGTCAAAAGAATCGTTCACTAAAACACACGCACGATACAAACACTAAAAATTGACATTGCAGTTTGAGGATTACATGATAGTAGATATGGACATAGACTTCCTAAAAGTATAAGAAGAAGAACAAACTAAATTTCCTTTGCATGTTTGCGATGTGATATACGACTTGGAAATTATTATTAATAAAATGGCAGTACTTTTTATGATCGGAGCATCATGTTTGCAGTGGTGAAGAAACCTTTATTGGAATCCGATAAACCTTAGGATTGTCAACATTTTACATGGTAAATTTCATTCAGTTCAATGTTTTTTTCTTTCTGCAGGGTTACTTTCACACGGTTCTCTCAATATTACCAAACCTAGTAACTCTTGATTTTACTGGAATCTCGCAGGCGGACAAACAGACTGCCGCACTGATCAGACGTCCTGGTCAGAACAAACATTGAAAGGGGGATCTGCACATCGTCAGTTTCTAAAATAACCATTGGAAGTGTACCAAACGAAGAACTAAAACTGCTAAAGACAATGAAACAGAGTATATTTTGCCAATTGCTTTTTTGTCGAAAAACCCTCATCTCTTTTAGCTTATACTTTTCTAGTTGTTCTGATAATGATACATTTAAAATTGGAATTATTCTAGTAAAGTATAACACAATAATCGCATTTTGATGACAATTTGAGAATATGGAAATACCGAAAGCTTAATTTTGCTTTACATGCAAGATACATACGCAGATGATATAGTCATGTTTCGTGAAGACGCTGATAAAATGCAGTCTTCTAGTGGCTCTGAGCAACAATACTAGAATGTTTGGGGTGCGCTTCTCTCCTTCTAAATGCAAATTGTTGCTCCAGGACTGGCCTGCATCAACACCTAAACTAAAGGAGTGAAGTAGTCGAAAGCGTTGACAACCTCACTTACCTTGGAAGTCTGATCAGCCATAATGGGTTCATGTCTGACGAAATCTCAGCACGGATTCGGAAAGCTCCTTCAGCTTCTGCCAACATACGTCACCTATGGCGAATGCGAGATATCCGTCTATCAATTACGGGACAAGTATACTGCGCGACAGTTCGTTCCATTCCGCTTTACGGCTGCGAAATGTGACCATTAAGAGTTGAAGATACTCGTAAGTTACTAGTATTTGACCACAGATGCATTAGAAATATTGCTCGCATCTGCGGGGATCACCGGATAAGTAATAGTGAAGCCAGACGCAGGGTATTAGGGAGTGATGGTAAATCAGTTGACGAGGTTGTGAATCTTCATCGACTGAGATGGTTGGGTTATGTATACATTGTAGTGAAGAAGAACACGGGTGGGGACAATCGATTGTATTTAGCACAAAGATTACAGACTATCTCAATAAAATGTGAATACCATAAAGTCAATCGTCAATTTGCAAAATATCATTCCATCATATCAAACTGTACTGTTCCCGTTGCAAACACTAATCCATTGTCTCCCATTCCATTGTACATGCGTTTTCTTACAATTCCATTGTGCTCTTGCTCTTCCTTTCTTGATCTTCGCCATCTTCTGCTGCCGGACATTACGTTCTTTTAACGCACGTTATATACTACTTATATGAATATAAGTAGCTCACACCACATACATGAACACCGATTACCACAACGCGCATGCTGACTAGTGTAGGTGCGGCCAAACCAAAGCATGGCATCAGTGCTTGAAGTCACTAACTTCTAGTCTTAGTCATGTCTGTAGATGCAGACCACTTGGTTGGGGTCCGTGTGACTATCGTAACCAATGGTTGGAGACTCTTGTTGACATGGCTGAGAATGGATCACAATAGTGTAAGTGTATACACTCTTTGTCCTCTCAAACTGTGAGATTAAAATTGTTTTATATCTTTCTTTCTACCAACTAACTCTTTCTTCCTGTACTATATCCTCATATGCATTCTTTTTTTATATATTACCACCATTGAATTTACTACTTCTATGAATCCAGTGTTCATCTTGATGTGCTAATGAGGTTTGCCAACTTGGACCGATGCACATATGTGCCTGGCCCTACGTTGTAACTGACTGACGCAAGAGATATTCACGAGAACTTACACAAGATGATTTAAACTGAAAATATTGATAAACCTTGTTGTATGTTAATTTTCAAAAGGTTTATGTTATGACTGGCCATAGTTGAATGCTATGCCTGAATCTCTTGTTTTTATACTCGGGACAACGAGGAACCACTGCAATTCCATCGACGCGAAGTAAGAACATCAAGACTGGTACAAATGAGGATTTATTAACTCTAAAACACGACGACGACCCTAGTCGAAAATGCACTCACATATTAATTGTACAGATGTTGATTATTAATTAGAAGGAAATCACATATATGAAAAATACCTAGAGTTGTAACAAATTACATGCTGCATGTCATGCTGAGTATAGTTCACGTTAATTTAATACAAGAATACCATATCTTAAACAAACGCCACACTCAAATAACTTGATGTTATGCTGAATATAATATATTGGAAAACGAAACAAATACTACCCTGGGTAACCATCACATTGAATTAAAATTGAAGTAATGTTGGACAAAAATAACAATGGGTAACGGAATATAACTTGCTTTTAAATCCCGTCATATCGGCTCTTCCGTGTTGTTTCAAATGGTCAAGTTTACTTGAGATAGTAAAATGACGAGAAGCTCACCCAGAAACACTTAAAACTACTTGTTAAGACCGATTTTTAAACAACTGTTCTACTTCAGTTCCTACTAATTTTAAGAGATGTATCAAAATCCATGATCACAACAGTTCACAACATTTTAATATTCACACTCAAGACAAATTAGTGTAATACAACAGAGCTAATCTTATCTGTTAAAATCACTACAGAATAGATTGGTTAAAGTGAAAGACTTATGCTACTGTGGATGTTAGATCAAATGAGGTTTTCTAAAACTAAATTCTGAGATAAAATTGTATCTCATAAAAACTAATTGGCACTGCTTCACCAAGAGATAGATAGGTAAGAAAGTTAACGAGATGATTGTACTGATATCCAATTTACGAGTAAGCTACAAAGAAAAAAAGATAGTCGTTAAAACAAGGTGGACAAGTTGAAGTACTGATAAACAGTAGTGAGTGATGGAAGAGAATACACCCTGGACTAGTCGGCAAGGCATGTCTACAATAACAGTGATACTCTACGACGTTACTAAATCTAAAGAGGCCAATTGGTGACTAATAATATCCTTAGCAGATTGTAAGCATAAAATATAAAAATATACACAACGCACCTAATACACATCATACGAAAAGCACACTCCTCTCTTCAAAAAGTAAGAAATTTTTACGGAACTCATCATAATACGCATCTACAACTTTTTGACTGAAGTAAACGTTTCAAGTTGGAATCCATCAAAGCGCAAGGACGTGTAATTGAATCAAGATCCAAAAAAGCCAAGTATATCGCAAGGAAAACGGCTTTTTCGCAAATAAGTTCCAAAGACGCTGATAAGATAGTCTACTTAACTAAAGAACCAGAGATTTACGTCAACAGTATGGAGACATCCTGGCCAGTTTTCGTTGTATTTATAAGTGTATAATTTGACAGAAGTTATAAACGAGTCCAATGAACAAACAAGTACTTCAGCCTGTGGCAAAAAGATTGTTATCACAATTCTTATTCCTAAATCTTCTGGTGATAACAAAGACAACTGAAAAAACTATCTATCTAAATAGATAGGGTGTGGCGAAATTGGTTTACCGATTACTAGATTTTAAATGAAAAACGATATAATCGGACGAAAAACGAGTTGTCCAGTCCGCAAAGATCGGTAGGTTTCAGTGAACATGTGCCAATCAGGACGCGAAAACACGTAGGAAAAACTTTTTATTCATTATGACAATTCTAAAAATATAAGGTAAAAAAGTAGACGTCTAATAAAGCTATTCACAGTTTTTAGATCAGATTTAGTCTTTGATGCTCACATTCGGCTTCTTCTTTGAGTTTATATAGCTGTTCTTGGACAACCTGAGTATACACAGAGTGAATATGTGAACGAAATTCTGATGAGGCCAAATATTCAGATGAATTATTCTTTAATTCTTCACGTAAACCATGGGTATCGATTGGTTTACCTACTACAACAGTCAGTTGACGCGGTTTTCCAAATATACATGACAGCGTAGTAGACGTATTCGGAACCTCAGAAGGATTTAGTTGATCTAGACCGCAATGCCAAACAGGAATTACAAGTGGATCCTGAGGGAAGAAGAACGAATATTTTGACGTTTAAGAAGTCTGTTTATTCAATCAACTTATGACAGACGCACTTTCATTTCATAAGGTTGATTAGATAGTCTGTAATCAAGTTTTTAAGTGGTATGAGCTTATGTGCGTCAGATTAACTTTAGTCAACAGATCGATAAAAAGTCTATTAGATCAAAAACGGATACATACGGGTAAATGCTAGAATGCACCAGTTTATTAAGAATATGGTTGGGGTGTGTAGATATCACATCGTTATTTTGATAAGAGGTTTTTTAGATATTTAAACAAGATAGAATTACATTTATCTAGGAAAGTTGAATTCGATAGTTACAAAATGAAATTTGTTTGACAGTTGGTTCAATGAGAAACAGAACGATGAAGAGTAATATTTTCTGAAAGACAGTGCAGAGACATTTGAAGCCCTACATTGTTTGTGGCTGACTGATATAGGGATATATTTATATATCAATGCAGTATACGTATTAACTAGTAGATTAATAGCTGCTGAGAATTTATTAAAAAAGCTTTTTTTCTCGTAAGAGGCAGAACAAGTTGTTCGCGTTTGAAGCAACTAATTACCCAAAACGATTTGTCAGTAGTAAAAATGATACAAACGACAAGTACCATGGTTTTATTGTGCTATAGATAAATCAGAATTTAAAATGTAAGTTGATCTTTGAACATATAAGCAATGGTAGCTGAAAACATAAAACTGAGAGGAATTGTGAAACCATCTTGAACTTAAGGCTCAATCGAAAAAGTGGATTCTGAAACAAATGTCAGGATTCTTCAGTGTTCCCTAAAAAGATCTACAATAATATTCCATTTACAAGAAATGAGGTGTGAAAACGAAACAAGATTCTGTAGAAACCTAATTAGACACTATTAAAAAACTGATAAATAAAAGTTAAACATTATTGGAAACTACTATTCCCATTTTTGTCTAAAACTTGATGTTATCTGAAGCAATAAACATTTATTTGACTACTTCGAATTGGTATTTCCTTCTAACATTTCTGAGAAGTATTTTGTAGATGAATTAAAACAACTATGTTCCTGATGACTTCCACATCAATTCAGTTCCTTCCTTTTCATTCTGATCTAAGTCTCGTTTCGCGATTGCAAATAATTAACATAAATGCTAACACATTATCACACCAATGAGTTGTCCATCTTTATTAAAACGTACACATATTGCATCTTATTTCATACTCCAATCCGAATCTATTTCATAGCAAATAACACAATCATAAGCATTGTTACTAAAATTTCCAACCTCACATATTTTTATAGCTACTTTGATTATTTCCCCCAAAGCCAGAACTAGAATAGTGCGATACGTGTTGGGACTACATAAAATTCGTTTTAAATGCGCTGATATCTGAAGATATGATAGATATCAAACGTCTGTTATTTTCCTAACTATCAATATTTATGAAATATTTCGACAATCTATACTGCTATCAAAACTTTATAGAAATTGATTACGAACGAGCAAAATGTATGTGAGGTGAGACTATAAACCTAGGACTTACGAAAGCTTACTTCTTTTGATTCGGCTATCAATCGTCCGATTCCCCAACGCAGGCGAATATTTTTTTCAGAACCACGTTCATGAGGTTGAATAATTCTCCCCTAAAGTATAACAATTATAATGATGATTAGGGCTTAACTCATAATATATCTACATTTGCCGACCTTATAAAGCAAAGATTTATTTTAAAAGGGCCTTAACAAACTGGTAATTTCCTAGCAAATGTTTTATTCGCAACAACAAAAGGTAAATGGCACTTATTCTAGATGATCCCATAAAAAATTGAATATAGACTAACTAGTGAATTTTTGTGGAAATTCTTCCTTAGGTCCAAACGGTGGAAGTCATAAACACTCTGACTTAGTGGGTTTAGACAATTTTGAGTACTACGGCTTAGTAGAAGCATCCGACGGAATCAGTGCTGTAAAACATTTTCAAATATCTGAACGTAGTGAGATTGCTATGTTTTAAAGTAAGTGGAGTGAGTGACAGGAAGGCCGTCAAGCAATAATGAATACTTCAGGTCACTGGTCAATATTTTAAAATGTGCTGTTATATGGTGGTAACTTGAAGGACAATACCTTTTGCTAAACTTATCATAACGAACTATCAAGTTACGTTTTCATTATACTTTTACCATGCTTAAAAATGTACGTAAAGTGATATTTTCCCTAAGCATTGATTGATTAATACATGAAGATTGTTAAATTACTAAATCATTATCAACATAGAGCCGGATAAAGGGCTGTGTTGGCTCCAGTTGACATACCATAAAAGATGAAATCTATATGATAAACTACACAAGAGGCCGAAAAAAATGTAGTAATAGTTATAATGAAGACAAATGAACATTTGAAATATAACTCGTAAAAATAGTGGAAGAGTAAGTATGAAGGAGTAATTGGATTCAAGATCGAGAGGAAGATAAAGAGTGAATGAACCTTGACCACTAGGAACTATTCTGAACAATATCACAATCTACACTACTAAAGTTGGAAAGAGAGAAAGGAAATAAAAATGATGTAAAATAGTTGGAAAATGAAATCAAGCAAAGATTAGTATGGAATTATGCCAGAAATAAAGTGAAATCATTAATTTTGGCAAGAATATAATTAGTACAACATGAACTAAAAAAATTAGCATACTAAAAAAGGCAACTACTTTAAAAACGACTAAACTCACAGCTGTGGTATCGTAAATATTAATTACCAGATATTTTAAACTTAATCATGTTTACAAACCTGGGAAAATACATGTACCCATTGGCCAGAATTTAGTAAATTGATGCAAAAATCCATACTAGGTTGATAAACCCCCCCACCAAAGTGAGTTATTTTACCAGATAGCGGATCACGAACCCTTCGCCATATAGGAACTCCTCTGAACCAGAAGAAGAAGTTGGTATGAAGCGAAGTTGTATAACATATATCTACAGCTGTCAAGCACCAACGACATACGGTTACTAAATATTTTCATAATGCTCGAATGTCGTGATACTACATACCATTAGCAAAATGCCTAAGTTTAAGCAACGAACCACACAAGAAAAAATCGTCAAGACACGAATGGTGATTGCTGACTGTAATCAAAGGCTGATTACTAGGTCTTTTGTCAATGGCCAATAAAAGGCGTTCCGAACCGACAACGTTTAGCTGATGACGTGACAAGGCTATCTTTGAAGCTAATCCCATGAAAGAGTATGTTAGGGATTGGAGGATTCTACGTGGAAGATATGAGGATTCCTGATTTTTGTAAAGCTTGTAAACAAGATCCATTTTCATAAAAGGAATAGTGCTGTCCAGAAATTCAAAATTCACCAGATGTTTTGGGGATAAGGATTCATTGAATCAAATTTTATTTGCAAGTATCGGTACCTGAAAGAGCAACGGTAAAATGTGCCTGTCAAGTGCTGATATCAACTGCAAAAATATAATACTCCCAGTATATCGAAAATTAGCTGATAGGTAAGTGATCACTTACACTGAACCTATCCAATAAAAACAAATATTTTTCGAGAGCATTGTTTGGAAATTATCAGTACTAAATTGTATAACTGGTCTATTGATATACTTGAGGGTACGCATGCTAAATCATGGAGTCCCTGAGGCAGTGCGACAGCGATTATTCCATTGGTTTGATATGCTCTATATGGTATTAACACTATACACCTAAACTATAATTTATTATTTATTCGTGCACATAGACCTAGAGATTGTTTCTCAGCATTTTCATTCGAGAAATTAGGAAATCAATGCATAGCGGGTATGCCGTAGCCAGGCAAGCAGTTCAGCGTTATGTTGAGATGTCTTTCCGTGATAGACTTCAAGCTAGCATTTCGACTGATCGTACACAAATAACCAGTAAGGTAGACTCACACAAACAAGTAATTATGCTTAAGAATATTAAAATAACTTTATTTCAGCAAGATAATATGGTACTAGTACACGGAAAGCCTGGTCTGATCAACCGATGTAGAGGACCATGGATTAATGAAACTTAGGTCACTCACAGACGAACGCAACTACTTCGAAGATCCTTTTCATTCTAGTGACATGGGGACATTTATGTGCTCGGTAGTTAGTCATGAGCACACATGGGTTCACGTCAAGGATATTGACTGTAAATGTATTGCCCTTGATTGTGTCAATTATTTAGTGGCTGTTCCATTGCTACATACGTTTATGTGAATGTATTGTGTTTCATTTTTGCTGATGGTATTATCATAAACCATTTCCTTACCTTTTATGTCTTATTTACCCGGCTTACAAACAATACGTAATTGTAGACGCACCAAGCAAGAGGCAGCTTATGGCTGCAGCTAAACAGTGGATTGTGGGAAAAGGGATTTGTCGCTATCCATCGGAGCTTGTTGATATGCACCTGCAAAACAGTGACAACCAGATGAAAATTGGTCAGTCCTGAGGTTTAAGGTCATTCACGAATGCGTGAGTTACGAATATGGAAACAAGCATTTCCTACAGATAGCCTTCAGGCTACAAAGGAGTTGTTGGTTCCCTTCAAAAAATTAGATGTTTGCTGCATCAACAGTTCTAAGGACGAAAACACCCTGCCAATAAATAATGAGAAGCCGAAGAGGACAGTACAATAATCTTACTAAGATTTTGTAGAGATGCATTGATACGTAAAGAAGGGTTTCTTTACAATTCCGTTGAGATGGATGTGGCGGAGACACAGGCTGGAAATAGCCATGTCGAATATCACAAACGTCGGTTGTTCGACAGTATTGTCTCGCTGATCGCCAAGTAGGCTTGTTTACTTTTAATATGTTAATTAACTAGATCGACACAGTTGGACACGTCGCCATCAACGTCCGAGTTCAGGCGTGTAGGCAGTGCGTTAGCGGCCGAATAGGTCACGTGTCCGATTGAGTTAAGTTTTTGAGATTTGATAGATTGTATACTGTATTACAGAACATATATTCCTGTATTTTTAACTTGAGTGCCAATATGAAGAAGCTACTGCCGAAGTCTGGTGGGCGTGAACATCCGCGAAAACTCGATTGCGGACTGTCAAGTCGGCAGTTCCCGTTATAATCTGAAGAGAAACTGGGAACGTTGGACGCTTGTCTTCAGAAGGAAGACATAAGGGAGATATTTGTAAGTCAATAAAACTAATTTGTTTTTATTACAGATGGGCATGTAGACGCAGTTAATTTATGGTAATCCTAAAATGTCAATGCGATATATTTTGTCATACGTCATGACACCTGAAGTCGCCAGTCATTTCACGCTACTTGGCACTTTATCGAAAAAAGATCTACAGAAGTGCAGGTTTTACGGCTGCATACGAAGTAGTATATGCTCTTTAAACTTCAGGTGCATTGACTAGTGTATTCCTGTCATCACCTGTCAACGAAAAACATTTTGCGAAACTGCATAACATCGCTGCGCAAGGTTATTTTCACGAGACAAATTACAAAAGCGTCATCGAAGAAAACAAGAACATGGATGTACTAAGTTAAAGTGGTAACTATTCCCTACTGTTTTATAGGTACAGTCTTCAGTGTTAACAAACACTTCACGTAGCTAGTATAAAGAACGTTATTTAGATATCGTTGTAAACTATTTTGTTCTTTCCGTTTCAGAATTCACATTATTTTGATCCTCAATAGCCGAACAGGAGTTACGAAACGAAATAACCAGTGGAATATTTTTTATGTTAAACTTGGTTTACAGTAAACATTTTTAAATATGAGCTTACTTTCTTACTTGCATGGGAAACGTTTTGACTAAGTGTTGAGAAAACCTGTTTGATTTTGTATGCACTTGCAATTGAGAACACGTGCCTAATCAACGTCAGCTGTTCTTTCTTCCGCAGATTTTTCAAATTTCAATAAGACTTGGCAATTACGATTAAAATACATAACAATCGATGCCCCAGCATCTATCAACTACCCATAACGTTGTACAATATGACGTTTTCTTTTTAAAAAATTTATTTAAACATGTACTATTTTTAACGTCAACAGTTGAGGTGTTGCGTGTTATGGGGACAAAAGCGAACACCGAAAATGTTTGGGGTTAAGTCAAAGGTGTGTCAAAAATTGAAGCAAAATCAGATAAATCGGCTAGTATTAAGGCGACAAGTAGACAATTCAGCGTGTGTTTTGGCTACAAGCAGACGAGTCGGAGTACATTTTTGCGACAAGTAAACAATTCAGCAACGTGTATACCATAGAAGCGCCCTTCTTGTCAGCGTATACAGATCCCCCCATACATACACTGGATAGCGTGACCATTAAAGAACTCGATGTCTTTGGTCTGCTAAATAAGCTTGACATAGGTAAATCCACGGGGCCCGATGAATTACATCCTAGGCTACTGAAGGAATTATCTAACTTCGTTGCGAACCCTTTAAGTACATGCTTTAACCTATCCGTTACGCAGGGTCGCTTATCGAAAGATTGGAAAAACGCCATAGTAAGTCCTGTCTTCAAAACAGGCACGAAACACAAACCTGAGAACTACCGCCCCGTTAGCCTAACTAGTGTGGTTGTTAAAATATTAGAAAAGATTATTCGGAAGGAGCTGTTTGAGTATCTCGATAAAAACCGGATCCTGTCGGAGAAGCAGCATGGCTTCAGAATAGGTTATTCTTGTCTCACTAACTTATTAGTGGCTCGTGAAAGCTGGTGTGCTCTTAAGGACCAAAAGCTACCTGTAGACGTCGCCTTCATTGATTTCAGTAAAGCTTTTGATAAAGTTCCGCACAACCGGCTGTTATATAAGTTAAGACATGTCGGGATTGGAGGTAATTTATTGATGTGGATAAAAGACTTCTTAGTTGGGCGTCAACAAAGAGTAAGGGTGAACTCAAAGTTATCTAGCTGGGAAACTGTGCTTAGTGGAGTGCCCCAGGGTACAGTTTTGGGGCCAGTGCTATTCCTCTTGTATGTAAATGACCTTCCTTGTCTCCTATCATCATCGGTCTTGCTATATGCTGACGATGTCAAGATATGGAGAACGATACGATGTAAGAGTGATAGCTTAGAACTTCAAAATGACCTGAAGAAGTTATCTGAATGGTCTCAAACATGGCAGTTGCCGATAAATACTTCCAAGTGTGTTGTGATGCATATCGGTCATCAAGGCACAGATACATACACGATGAATAACACTGAGCTACCTGTCGTCCAGACATATAATGACTTAGGAGTTATCGTTAGTCAAGACTTAAAGACTACTGCACACTGCCGTGCAATAGCCGCCAAAAGTTTTAGAACGTTATGGTCAATACGTAGGGCTTTTAGTCATGTCGACACTAAGATGTTTTTGACTTTGTATACAGTGTTCGTTCGTCCTAAACTTGAGTACTGCATACAAGCGGCTAGCCCCTGCTTTAAAAAAGACAGTGAGCTTCTGGAAAAGGTTCAGAGAACGGCGACTAAACTGGTTCCCGCAATAGCGAAGCTTCCGTATGAATCTCGACTGGCCAAGCTGAACCTTTTCCCGTTGTCATATCGCAGAACTAGAGGCGACTTGATTACAGTCTACAAATTGCTTAGTGATAAATTTGCACCTAACATGCCCTCATTTTTCTTGTCTTCCAAAACAGAGAATTTACGAGGACACTCCAAAAAAGTTCATAAGCCGAGAACAAATTACTTGTCAGCTGACTGTCGACTTTCCCATCGAATCATCAACGAGTGGAATTCACTACCTCAGCACGTGGTTGAGGCTCCATCCGTCGACTCTTTCAAAAGAAAGTTGGATCAACTGAGAGACCACCATTGCCAGGACTAACATAGGCCATCGAGCCTCCTGTCCTTCCCAAACTGAAACTGAAACTGTTTAAAACAGACCGACATAAAGGGGAGAATCCATATTACTCCTTCCGGAAAGGCGAAAGAGCAGATATTTCTGCGCGTTTCTCTATGATTTCTCTGTTGTTTTCTGACGCACTTTCCCCTTTGTTTTCTCTTTAAAGGAAGAATGAATTAACCAATAATCATTTGTTGATTGAGAAATTTGAAATAATAGCACTTTTTGAAGATGTAAGTAAAGGAGGAAACAGGTCAAATAAATTTGAATCGGATTAAATAATGTGTCCATCTGATATAAAGCCTGAGATAAGCTTTCAGGAAGAAAGCTAAACTTACAAACGAATCCCCTTATGTCACCGCAGTCACGCTTTCGTAGATCAGGTAGCGCGTTACTCAAATGGTTGAAGT